GGCCCCCCCCCGCCCCCCCCCCACCCACCCTGCGGGCCACAACTTTGCCCAGACCCCTCGCCACAGCCACGCCTGCTTCTTCACTTCGGTCTTCACAGCACCGAGGATTCAGGCACGTCGGGGCTCCCGGAAAAGGGTGGTTTCCTGTCACCCCGCACCTGGGCCTGCAGGCACCTTGCTGGCTGAGGAGGCTGCTGGGGCCAGGACACCGTACAGTCCTCCAGGGGCACCTCCTAGAGAGCCCAGCGGTCCTACTACACAGAGAGGAGATGGTGACACAGAATGGAGAGACTTGTCCCAAGTCGCTTAGGTACTGATGTTCACCCCCTCAGTGACCATCCCAGACTGGGAGACCCAAGGATCGGTTGAGGCAGGTGGCCCCAGAGCAACCCTTGCCCCCTCTAGGAGGCCATCTGGGTGATGGGCCTAGATCTGTGAAGAGATGAGATCCCATTCCCCCGCCCGGGGGGCCTCTAGTCTACTGACAGAGACAAAGCAATAATCAAATAAACCGTTATAATACAGTATAATGCCGGTAGTGATGTGTTCTAGAGAGAAAAATCATTAGTATGTCTGTGAGTGAGGGGACGTGGTGGATAATCCAGATCAGTAGGTCAGGGAGGGGCTGGCTGCCTGAGGAGCAGACAGTGGAGCCAAGACAAGGAAGTGAAGGCTTGAGCAATGCAGAAGGAACAGCCGTGCAAGGGCCCTGAGGCAGCAATCAGCAAGTGCTATTCCAGCACTAGCTGGACCAGAGTTGGGGTGAGTGGGGTAGGGGGCAAAACCTGAGGGATAAGAGATGGGAGCAGGTGGGTGGGGAGTTTGAACTTTATCCAAGGTGTGGTATGTAAATTGGAAGGCTTTTAGCAGGGGCATAATGTGGCCTGACTCTTGGAAAATAACACTCTGATTATTTCAGGGATAAGAATCTTAACTGGGGCGCCTGGGTGGCTCAGTCAGTTGAACGTTTGACTCTTGATTTCGGCTCAGGTCATGATCTTGCGGTTCATGAGTTCGAGGCCCCCATCAGGCTCTGTGCTGACAGTGCAGAGCCTGCTGGGGATTCTCTCTTCCTTTCTCTCTGCCCTTCCCTTGCTTGTGTACACATGTGCACTCTCTTGCTCGCTCGCTCTCTAAAAAATAAATAAACATGAAAAAAACTTAATTGAAGAGTAACTGACATACAAAATTGTATTCATTTCAGGTATACAACGCAGTGATTAGATATAGATGTACAATAAGAAATGGTCACCACAGTAAGTCTAGCTACCGTCTGTCA